GAACTTGAAGATGCCGAAGCGCGCGAACTCCAGGTTGGTGGTTTACTGCCGAGTCGTGGGAGGACGAGAGCGTGGCGTGGGAGGGAGCGGCGACGGAGGGGCGGGACCTCGGGGCGAAGTCACGTCGACAGGATGGGAAGCGGAGTGGATGGCGGTCGGCGACAGGAAGACGGCGAGCTCGCGACACTGGAAAGCACTTTAACGCCTCTTGTCGGCCGCCGCTAATGGGCCCACGACCTTTTATTATGTGTCAAGCCCGACGAGAAACCGTCTCCGAGGCATCGAGCCGAAGTTCGCCTGTCACGCACACGCTCCGCCCACGTTGCCGGAAGCCCTTCGCTGATTGGTTCGCGCCAAAAGGAGCCCGCGCTTCCATTGGTGCTTTTGATTCCGTCCGACCAATGGGAGCGAGAGCAGTTACATGACACAGGTCACGTGAAAATGTTGCACACGTAACCATCGGAAAGTGATTTAGTGAGGCGGAATTAGCCCTAAGAGCAATATTCGTGGACGAAAAGGACTGCTTTGCGACGGTAATCTTTCCCGCCGCGTTTCCCTTTCCGCTCCCCTTAACTCCTTTTTTCTCTTTTCTTTTTAATAGAAAGCACACCGGGTAGCCTGCAACGCCGGGACTCATTAGGTTATGCAAGAATAGTAAGCAGATAAATGCTTGGAGCAAAAGGCACTGCCAGAAAGGTGTCTTGAAGCAGCGGATATTTCTCAAAATGAATCTCCTTCGCTATAGCCACTTTTCCCATCTACAGTCGCATCTCCAGGGACATTCTTTTTCTTCAAAGTTCCCCCTTCCATCCCCCAAAAGAGACCAATTTCGCAGTAACCACGCTGTGTACTTTGCCTTTTTCTTTCTAATTCTTTTTCTTCGTCGTCTTCTGTTTCTTTTTATTCTCTCAGTTTTGTTCTTTTCTTTCTCTTCTGCTCTTCTGTCCATTTCTTCTTTTGTTCTTGTTCTTTAGTTCCGTCTCCTTCATCTTTTACTTTTCTTCTCTTCTCCTTCTCCATCTTCCCTCCCTCCTCATCATCCCCTTCTCTCTCTAATCATCCCCACCCTCCCCCTCCTCCCCATCCCCCTCCCTCCTCCCATCCCCCTTCTCCCACTCCTTCTCTCCACCTTCCTCCTCCCTCCATCCTCCTTCTCTTCCTCCTCCCTCAAGATAGCAACCTCCTCGCGCCCTGAAGGACCCGCGGAGGAAGGTGTGGGCGGTGGGCGCAGGAATCTCGAGCGATGGCCGGAGGAGACCGATCCTCGGACCGGAAATGGGAGACTCCTAGAGATCTCGTGTCGCATCTCGGCCTCTCCTCGGAAGGGCCTCGGCGGTCCGCTCAAGGCGTCCTGGAAGGATCTGGATTCTTCGCTTGCGTATGAATGGTGTCTATTTACGTAAGTTTTTTTCTGGAATGATCTGTTCATTTGCATAATGATTATGTCCATTTTTTCAGGAATTACATCTACATTGGACCTTTGGGAAAGGCTTTCAGGAACGAACTAGATTGCCCTGTTATATAAGCTTCTGCAATTATGTAGATCGTAGATGGAATAACAAAGATGTCTTTACGTAAGGTTTTCTGGAATGGTTTTCTATACTGTCTAGTAGTGTGAGTATTTTTTTGAATGATTTAAGTTGTCATTTTGCGTAAGGTTTTCTGGAACACTCAAAATCGTCCATTTACATTTTTTCTGGAATGAACCATGGAAGGAATTTCCTGGTTAAATTTTGTAGAACGATCTAAATTATCTAGCAATATATTAATTTTTCATTATATATGTTATTTTTCTTTTTATTTATTCATTTGTTTGATAATCTAAGTTGTCCAGTTGAGTAAGATTTTCTGGAAGGATCTAGATTACCCAATTATTTAAGTATTTTGTTTCTGCACCCTACACAGATTGCTCCTTTATTTTTTGGAATGCTCCAGATCCCCTAGTTAGGCCTTTTGGAATGCTCTAGATTCCCCAATCACGTTTTCTGGAATTAACTGCTGTAGACTGCATATTTACTTAAAGTTTTCTTTATGTTTTCTGGTATGCTCTAACGTCAAATCTAAACTTGAATTTTCTAGAATACTGTAAATTGTCCATTATCCATTTACGTAATCTTTTAATGATCTAGACTGACCAATTATGTTTTTTTTTTCTTTTAAATTCCTCATTCTTATATCAGGGCCTGTTGATGATTCTCTAACTGTCTATTGAATTGCACATGTAAGTTGTTTTTTGATTTTTAGAAAATAATTACCATTACTTATATCAGTCCTAATTCCAGTTAGAATCAGTTTCGAATTGATATATTCAGATCTACACAAATGCCTATAAAGAGTATACAATTATGTATATATAATCGTTTAATGTCAAAGGAAATCATTCCGTCAAATCAAAAGAGATTAAGAAAATGGAAAAGTTAATGAAAAAATAAAAGGAAATGGTCAGGACCAAACAGAATTGTTATTATTATTATTATTATTATTATTATTTTCTTTTTAA